CCGATGTTCATGTTAACTGCTAATGCACATTAGTGACTGTCGGAAGGACTCTTTCTTGAGCCAGGTGTGCTAGCGTAGCGTGCCTGCTGCCTATATCCTCAGGAGGCAGAGGCAGGAAGAACATACATTTGAGGATAGCATGGGCTACGTAAGAAATCTAAAACAAACAAGACAAGAAAAGCACACAGTCATACTCTTTAGAGAAAGAGTTAAAGACTGTATGGGCTGACATCAAGGGTGTGCCTTCAGGCTGTGTGCTGCTAACCTTGACTTTCCGCCCTCTTTTAAGGAAAGTATTTCAAAGCCTTCTGCATAAAAACAGCTCCCGTACAGATCTTTTCCACTCCTGTAGAAACACTCTTTTATCTCTGAATGCCTCTTCCTTTCTTAGCAGAAGAATGAGGAGGAGGAAAAATTCTATGTTTAATTGTGTATATCTGTGAGTAGGTATGTGCATGTGAGTGCAGGTGCCCATAGAGGCCAGAAGAGGGCACTGGATTCCCCTGGAGCTGGAGTCACAGCCCATTGTGAGTAGCCTGATATGGGTGCTGGGAACTGAAACTGGATTCTCTGTAAGAGCAGTAATGCTCTTAACTGATACACCATCTCTCTAGACCTCTTTCTCTCCTTTAAGAGGGAAATTGAGTTTTGTCCTCCAAAGAACTAGAGTATAGCAGAGCAATGGTGTGCAAAAACAACTCTCTGGTCACACGTCCGTAGGCCTAGCACCTATGACTCTCTTCTCAGCCTAAAGGGTTTAATAGGCAACCATCTCCACACTCCTTCCTCTTTTTAAAATATTAATATATTTAAATGAGCATGGTATGACTGCTAATGGCCTGAGCCCTGTTCCACTATCTTTTGCCTTCACTAGTCTTCATTTATGTAGGGATATTAAGTTATTAACTTCCCTAGGATTGTAATGACTAAGTGAGACACTGCTCATTATAGACTCTAGAATGTCACATAATAATTATTCACTTTGTGTGATGATGTTCTTTTTAATTTATTTTCTTGTACAATACATTGGAACCATAAAATTTTCTACTTTTAAAAAGCAATCACTGTAGAATAAGTGACCTCTCCTAACACAAAGGAAGGAAGCTTAGCTGAACAGAGCACACACAGGACCTGTGAGCTGCGAGCCCTCATGAACTTCTAAGGACACATCAGGCTGCTCACAGTGGTCCATGACTTCAGCTCTAGGGGATCCAGTGCCCTCTGCTGGCCTCTGCTGAAAGTCTCCTGTGTCCAGGCCTGAGCTAAGCATGTTATATTTGCTGGTGCTGACAACAGCCCTGGAAAGTGGAAATGTTTTGACATGGAAGACCCACATAGTCTGCTCCACACCAGTCTAAACCAGTTGGAACCAGTTTGAACTGGTCAGGACCGGTCAGAACTGGTTTGAGCCAATTGGAACCAGTCGGACCTGGCCTAGACCAGTTTGAACCGGCTGGGACCTGTCAGAACTGGCCAGAACCGGTTTGAGCAGGTCAAAACCGGTTTGGTTTGGACTGGTTTGGAACTGGTCGTAACCAGTTTGAGCTGGTCTAAATCGGTTGGAACCAGCGTGAACTGATCAAGATTGGTTTGACTTGGTCTGAACCGGTTTTAACCGGCCGGAACCAGTTTGAGCTGGTTGTGGCCAGTTTGGGCTGGCCTGAACCGGGTGGGACTGGTTTGAGCTCGTCGGAACTGGTTTAAACTGGTCGTGACTGGTTTGAGCCAGTCTGAACCAGTTGGGGCCGGTTTGACCTGGTCTAAACCAGTCGAAACCGCTTTGAACTGGTTGGGACCAGTCAGAACCGGTTTGAGCAGGTTGGAACCGGTCGGAACCGGCCTAGACCGGTCTGAACTGGTCGGGACCAACCTAAACTGGTCAGAACTGGTTTGAACCATTTGGGACCTGGTCAAACTAGTCGGGGCCAGTTTGAACCTGTCTGAACTGGCCTAAACTGGTCTGAACAGGTTGGGGCCGGTTTGAGCAGGTCTAAACAAGTCGGAACTGGTTTGAACTAGTCGTAACAGGTTTGAGCCAGTTTGAACCGGTTTGTGTGTCAGGAACAGTGAGACGAACCCAACTGAAGACATGAAGGGACCAGCAGGAACCAGAATCCCCGTGTTTTGTCAATGGCTGCCAGGCGTAGAGGGCCATGGATGGCTGGAATGCCATTTCCTGCCCAGCTCCAGTTTCCAGTGCCTTTGCTCCCCTGGCCAGGGGGTTTTCTTGCTGCATGTCCAGGAGGAAGGAGATGCTTAGAAGCAGTAGAAGTATCTGCAAGAATTCTGGAACTGTGCCTGGCCCTAAGGTGGGTTTGAAGCCGAGAAGTCCAGATACGGGCTCTGGCCTGGTGCTTCTCAATGCTGCTTCTTCAGTGTGGCTCTGCCTAGCTGCAATTGTTCAACAGAGGGGTTTCCCTCCATATGCCGTTGGTTGTTCATGAAACCTGCTTTAGGATGTAGTTGGTTTGTTTTACTTTTGGGGTGGGGGTCTGCCATCTATCTCCCAAATAAATACATGGAGACTTATTCTTATTTATGAATGCCCGGGCTTAGCTTGGCTTGTTTCTAGCCAGTTTTTCTAACTTAACCTGTTTCTCTTAAACTATGATTTTTGTCTCTGGAGATTTTACCTTTCTTAATTCTATATGTCTTTCTTCCCTTTTTACTCCATGGCTTATTTTGTGGCTGGTAGCTGGCCTCTGTCATCCTTCTCTTATTCCTCCCTCTTTTCAGCCTAGATTTCTCCTCCTATTTATTCTCTCTACCTCCCACCCTACCTATTTCTCTTCCCTGCCTAGTTATTGGCTGTTGAGCTCTTTATTAGAGCAATCAGGTGTTTTAGACGGCAAACCAACACAGCTTCAGAGTTAAACAAATGCAGCATAAAAGAATGCAACACATCTTTGCATCATCAAACAAATATTTCACAACATCCAAGAAATGGGAATGGTTTAGAATTGTGTAGAAGTCCTCTTTGGAGGCAGGTCACTGGCTTCTAGTAGTCTAGGTAGAATTGGGGTGGGGTGTCCACCTCCGCTGAGGTCAGCATGATGTCTGGGATGTCATGTTCGTTGGCCCTGAACTGATTGACACAACATAAAGACTTTATAAAAAGCAAGCAGTTTGGTATTAAACCTCTGGGCAACTAGTACACACCGCCATGGCTTCCTTAAAAAGTAATTCAAGTGAAAAAGTTAGAAAATTCTCTATATTTTGTAAAAAGAATCAAAATGAGAACCTTTTCAGTGTTTCCCGCTGGGTGGTGCTTTCGTTTCATTTCGCTCCAGGATTCTAGTCCCAGGACAAGGCCCCAGTCTAACTTAGCCCTGGCAGGCCATTGCTCTTTGGAAGTCTTAGAGTGGATGGATACATTTGTATAGATAGAATACCCCTCCCCTCCCTTTCTCCCTCTTCTCTGTTTCTCTTTCTTCCTCCCTTCCCCTCCTCCTCTCCTTCTCCCCTCATACTCACTGAGTTCACTTTTCTATGGTTCTCCCCCACTCTGGACGTCTGTGAGCATCTTCTCTGTGGGACCGTCAGGTTGAATGTGAGAACAGCTTAAGGTGTTTTCCAGTCACATTCTTGTACCCGTTAGGACCCAGTGCAGTGATTCCTTCCCAAAGCAGACCCCGGATGACGGATTCAGGAATCGAGGGACAGTAGTGTGCTGTGTGGATGCATTTAGTTATCCAGCTGTTTCTGGGATTAGCAAGCATTGTTTTGTGAATGGCCATGGGGGTGTTTAAAGCCTTACACATCTGGGTTCTGACCAGCAACTTGGCACTGTTGTGGTCAGCGTGAAAGGAGGCAGTGTGACAGGCACGGCTGTTCACACACTGGGTCGGGGGCTGGATTTGGTCACCAGTTGTAGTTTTACTGGCTACGTTAGAATTATAGAGGCGTCACCGTGGCAAAGAGGTTTCGTGAGTCTGTAAGTGGGACAGTCCTTGCTCAGCTTTCACCCAGATCCACTTCCTTTTCCATGTGAGTCCAAGAAGCCAGGTATCCCTGCCTCCTCCACACTCAGTGGGTACTTTGACCAATCCTGGCTCATGATCTTTCTCTAGAAGTGATGTCTTCTCCGCGTAGACCTGCTCACAGAACTTCCTGCCCACTGGTCCACATTCTTCTTCCTTGTCTGCAGGTGTGGAGGATTCCAGGGCCTCCATCACTCTCTCTGACTAACAACAGTGGGAGGACTAGATGCAGAGGCTCCTGTGAGGTGGATATGTGCTGGTTTTGTAAATGAGAAATATTTACTGGGTGTATGCTCTCACAGAGCTCCCGGCTGTAATCATTAGTGTGATAATAGAGGAATAATTGTGTAATCAACGCAGTCTAGAGATTAGTGTGCAAAGCAGGTGCTTTGGGAGCGGTTCCTCGGTGCGCAGTGATTCATGGGACTATATGGTTGGAATGTGGGAACTTGCTGTTGAGTGGAAGCTTTCTGTTGAACCTAAAGCTGCTCTGCAAAGTAAAATCCACTTCAAAGAATTAAATAAAATGAAAAAAAAAAGAAAAATAAAAAGACTTAGGGAAGAGAAAAATATCCGGCTGACAATTGGCGTTGATTTTTCATTCTCAGAGATAGTCTGCCCCTGTTCTTATACCCGGGGGGGGGGGGTGGGGGGAGGGGGGGCACTTCTACCACACAACCCTACTGCGCCACCAATGCAACCGTTAGTGTATACACTGGCTACACAGATGTTGTAATGAGCAGACAGCACCGCAGACATGTCTCTGTTCACTATTGAGGGCTGCGTCTGAGCAGCTGCCTCAGTATCGCTGGACTTGAGGTGCAGACCTGGTGTCATCTGCGGTTTACCTCCCCAGACTGTGCAATCAAATTGCTCCACGCAGTCTACCAGTTTCTGAGGACTTGCTGCGCACAGCCCCATACCTATCGGAACCCTCCACCCAGGATCCAGGGCAAGATTATCCCCACATCTGCTAGCCTTGGCCTTTGCTTAATGCAATGTTTTCTTTCCTTCGACTAGGAAAATGCCCAGATCATCAGAGAAGTGGAAGTAGACAAAGTCTCGGCACTCTCCCGAGACCAGGTGGCAGCCATCAAGCAGCTGTGGCTGGATCCGGGAATCCAGGAGTGTTACGACAGGAGGCGGGAATACCAGCTGTCAGACTCGGCTAAGTAGTGAGTACTCCGCCCCGACACTGCCGCAGCCACAGTGCTCTTAGGCCAACTCTGCAAGACTGCACTCCTTGCTCTGAGGAAAGGGGGTGGTCTTTCCCCACCCCTGGCTCTGACTCTCAGCATTTTCTTCCTAATTTTCTCTGGGTTCCTGTATGTACCCTGGGGTCAGTACCCACTTTTGCCCACCTAATTAAATTGGAAATTCCCTTAGCAGAATGTATCTAAGTTTTGGTGCTGGAATTGTAACTTAAGCGAAGAACACACCTGCCCTGGCGGTTCCCTTTCTTCTCCAAAGGTACTCCTTTGGAAACCACAGGCAGGTAGGTGTAGGCTTTAACTTAAATCAGCCACTGGTCTTGTGCTACCCTCTAGTGGTAGACATCAGTATCTGCAGGACCAGCACACAAAACTTTTTGACCCTTTCAGAAAGTCCTACCTCTTACGTATTTTGGATCCATAAAGCTTTAAACCATCATCCCACCAAAATCTCTATTGTACACCACCTTGGAAAGATTGCAACGTTTCCCTTTCTTAAGAGTCCCCTGGGACTGTGTGTCATCCAGTAGGTGACTGAGCGCACAGATTATTTCTTGGGTTGCTATCTGTACTTCTGTAGCTCATCTTTTCCCCTCCTCCTCCATACCGCTGTCCCTCCTCCCAGGACCATGACACCCCCACCCCCAAAACACCCGATTTCTCGTAAGTGTTGGCCTTCTCTTGAGCTAGCTCAAATCGGACAAAACAGCTGTCAGGAAAGGCATGGTTAGTTTATGTGGTTCTAGTGACCTTGCCTAGACATTCGTTCCAGGCAGTGTGCAATTCATTCCAGGTTGGAACAGCTGATCCAACTACATCAGCAAAAAAAACATTATGTCAGGAGCAGAAAAGAAGCCACGACGTTGGCAATGGAGAAGGGAGGAAGAAAGTCTAGGGAGTCAGGGGCTGCTCTCAGCCACTCCCCACCCCCATTCCCTCCCAGAAGCAGCCTGCTGTTGCTGGTGTTGTGACCATGTTGTGGGTTTACACCCATTTGGAGAAAGCTTACCAGAACTGCTGTAGGACTAGTTCAGTGGAAATCATGAAAACTTAAGCAAGTTCACTGGGAGGCATGGCGGGATGGCTGGGGAGGTAAACGGATTATACAGAAGACAACAGCAGTTAATAAAGGCAGACAGATGCCAGTCCTGAGAGTCAGTAGGTGTGGTGGCACAGGCCTGGGATAGCAGCCTGGGGAGGCAGGAGCAGGAGGATCTCCAGCCAGCCTGTGACCCTAGGCTAGACCCTGTCTTTAAAAAAAGGGAGCCGGGCGGTGGTGGCACACGCCTTTAATCCCAGCACTTGGGAGGCAGAGGCAGGCAGATCTCTGTGAGTTCGAGGCCAGCCTGGTCTATAAGAGCTAGTTCCAGGACAGGAACCAAAACCACAGAGAAACCCTGTCTCGAAAAAAGCAAAAAAAAAAAAAAAAGGGAATAAAAGGTTGATGGTGTATGGCGTAAGTTATTTGTGCATTTTCTTGGTTCAGGCCTGTGGTTCTCTGTCATCTGCTAGTAATGTCTGCATTTTTAGATATGCATTTTTTTTTCAAGACAGGGTTTCTCTGTGTAGCTTTGGTGTCTGTCCTGGAACTCACTCTTGTAGACCAGGCTGGCCTCAAACTCACAGAGATCTGCCTGCCTCTGCCTCCCGAGTGCTGGGATAAAAAGGTATGCGCCACCACCACCTGGCTTAGATTTGCATTTATACTGCCCAGGTGAGTGTACCAGATAGCATGCCGAGGGCTATGTGGCTACCAACCAACGCCCTCTAATCTCAGAAGCGGCACAGTCTGCTGTTTTAATCACTCTTTGGTCAACCCATCACTGTGGTGTGTCTCCCTTATGAAAGTGGCCCATTCATAATTTGGGGCCACTTTCAGAGTCCCCAGCAGATGCCCCAAATCACAGATGATGGCATTGTATTCTATGTTTTTCCCTATACAGACACAGCATAAGATGAACTGATAAATTAGGTATAGTAAGAGCTAGTGAGTAAAAGTTGAGCTATTTGGTTACCAACGCTGTGATCCCATGGCAATTAGTGGGATAACTGGCCCAGCTACTGAGGACTTAAAATTCACAAAAGACCTCAGGACTTAAGTGATTGTTTGAAGACACAGTCTCTAGCCCAGGCTGGCCTTGGACTCTCCATGTGTTTCCGCAGGACCCTAAACTTCTGATCCTCCTACCTCTACCTCCTGAGTGCTGGGATTGCAGGCATGCGCCACCATGTTGTAAGAGGTGCTGGCTTTAACCCAGTGCTGTGTGCATGCTAGGCAAGTACTCTGAAAACTGAGCTACACTCCCTGGTGAAGTGTATTTTAAAGGCATTCTTTTATTTGACTTTAGAAAAAAAAACCCACATGTATTTTAAAGTCAGAACTTTACTACATATAAATACCAAATACCATGAGACGAACTTTGGATTATTTTAGATGTCTCACTTCCCAGGGTTCTTAACAGGAAAATGCTCTTATTTTGAGAGAATTGTTTCATGTCCTGTTTGACGACGGCGTATTTTCATAGAAGCTGTTCTTATCACTGATCGGAGACTTCAGAGAACAATGTCTATTTATTAATGTTCTTGGGTGGAGGCAAGTGGGTGGGTCTGGCAGGTGAGGGGCCAGTATCGTAACCCCCTCCTTGGTCTCTAGGTTGCTGCTTCTCTCATGGCCACAGAGATGATGCAGCTGGGAACTGGGATGGGGTGGCCTGCATTCTCAGGCTTCCAGATTTACCTGAGTCCTGACCCCTTCAGAATGGTCTTGGGAGGATCGAGACCTGGCATAGTCACCTCTGCATGCTATTGCTGGCCTCCAAGTCTTGTGGGGGCCCTGTGGTCGGGGAGGACTTCCCTTGAGCAAGGAAGGTTGCTTTCCTTTCTCACAACGGAGCCTCAGTGTCTCAACTCTTTAATGTCACAGTTACCTGACTGACATTGACCGAATCGCCATGCCCTCTTTCGTGCCAACGCAACAGGATGTCCTTCGTGTTCGGGTGCCCACCACTGGCATCATAGAGTATCCATTTGACTTGGAGAACATCATCTTCCGGTAAGTCTGTCTCCCAGACAGAGGCCTTTAAGGGTCAGTCTGTTCAGGGGACATGTCCTGAGGGGTGTGTGTGTGTGTGTGTGTGTGCCAGGTGTGCAGGAGTCACTGGAGATGATAACGGCATCAGATCCCCTGGGAATGGATCACCATGTGGGTGCTCAGACTGGACTCAGGCCCTTTGAAAAGCAACGGGAGTTCTTAACCCCTGAGCCTCCTCTCCGACCCCTCAAAGCTCGTGTATCTATTATTCCTCTATCCTTTCTAACGACGATCATTGCACACCTGTCTAGCCCTCCCACATTGAGTTCAATATTATTGTTCTGTTTAGCTCTCCTTCAGCGTTGTCACGTGGAGAGGGTGGTATAAAAATACTCTTCATGTCTCATTTAATGGGAGCTCTATCCCTAGCTGACCAGTGGGTTTAAACCTTTTCAACTCCAAAGGCTGCTTGCAACCTCCCAGGCATCTCAGAATGAGTTTGCCAGAGTTTTGGTGGCCAGGTTTTGCCTTCAGAGCCACAGGACTATGCCACGCACCGCGGGACCCCGTCTGCGCTCTATGCACTAGAACCCAGTTTGTGAGCTTCTGGCAAGGGGCTGGAGGTTGAGAATACACACGCAGAGACAGACCCACACACAGACCTTCCAACACTGGTACCAAAAGCCCCTCTTTAATAGCACCGTGGAGGCTTAAATACCCTGCAGTCAATGGCCAACAGGTGAAAATCCCATCCTCTGATCCTCTTAGCTAGGCACAGCTTCTAGTAACTTTAACTAGAAGGCTCTATACAGGGAAGAGCAGTTCAAGGCCAGGACTCAATTAGTCCCAACAGGACTGGGTTGAAATGCGTGCACCTCCACCGAGTGGCTCACAGCTACCTGTAACTCCAGCTCCAGGAGACCCAATGGCCTCTTTTGGCCTCAGGTCCCCGGTCTCATGTGCATGTCACATACGCACACATAAACACACAGTCCTGAAAGACAGAATACAAATCATACATTTAAATACAGGACCTGCAGAAGAGGTCCCAGGAAGATGGCTTGCCTTTGTCCCTTTTGTGCCCTAGGACTCCGTGTGGGCTGCTGGAGTAAAGACTTCCGCAGCAGGTTCTTACCCAGCATCCCCAGGAAGGCTCCATCTGAGTCCTTTGCTTGGAATCCACCAATGGTTCCCCACTGCCCAGGGCAGCACCGTTCTGACACTAACCTTAAGAACCCCTTCCCTCCGAATCACTGAAGACCGCAAAGGTTACTAACTCCGTGGTGTAAAGACCTGCATCCCGTTTCCCGGAGCTGTTCATTCCAACTCTGACCATCTCTCTCCACTGAGCAGGATGGTGGATGTTGGTGGCCAGCGCTCTGAGCGACGGAAGTGGATCCACTGCTTTGAGAGCGTCACCTCCATCATTTTCTTGGTTGCTCTGAGTGAATATGACCAGGTCCTGGCTGAGTGTGACAATGAGGTATGCTGCCGGGGTGGGGTGGTAACTGTGGAAGACGGTCTTAGTTCTTCAGTTTTCTAGAAGCCGGCACTCAGGTGTCTGTTACTAATGCAGCCGACTGGTGTACTGCAGACCCATGTCCATAGTTCCCTGCAACTTAAATACTGTCACATGTCACTTAAAAGCAAAATACATCCGGAGACAGACCTCATCAGATTTCAGAGCCAGGTTTGGTGCCACAGCACTCAGGAGGCGAAGGCAGGCAGATCTCTGAGAGTTCCTGGCTAGCCAAGCCTCCATAGTCTTAAAAAAAAAAAAAAAAAAAAACAACCCAAATTAAACAAGACAAGAAGCAAACAACTAAAAAAGCACAAACCAACCAACCAGAAGAGACTTCATCTTTGTGTGACGAACTGAAATGGTGCAGCCTATTGCATACTGAGAGTTGTGGACCAGAACCCTAGATCCAAACTAGTTGCCCAGAATTTCCCAAGGAACATTTCCTGAGTCAAATACCAGACTCTGATTTAACTGACTGATGGTGGCTATGGTCTGAGAGTAAGAATGTTCACAAAGTCCCCCCCCTCCCCCAGGTAAATGTCATGGGTCATGAAGGGTAGAAAACAGGAAAAAGCAGACTGGGTCAAGAGAGCCCAGTTTACCAAGCTAGCCCTTAGAAACCATGTAAAAATCCAACCTACATACACAAAGCTAAGGTTCTTACTGCTGGTGGCATGTTGGTAAAAAAAAAATTACTGCCTTTTGGGTCCTGCGCTACAGCTATATTTGTTGGGTTCCAATGGGGGTAGTTTCATTTCCAAGTCCCTTCAGAGACCCTAATACATACAGTATTGTCTAACAATTCTCCCCCATCCCACCTCTTTCAAGACTGGGTCTTGTCCAGTTTAAGCTGGCCCCAAACTGACTATGAAGCAAAGGGTAACTAACCTTCACTTTATTATCCTCCAGCCTTCCACTACACCTCCTAAGTGTTGGGATTATACCTGTGCGCCATCGTGTGGACTGAACCTGTGGCTTCATCATGCCCAGCCCAGTCTGTTTCTAACAGACACCATCTGAGCGGACCCTCGGCCTCCAGAGAACGCCGCTCCCAAACTAGGCTCTTAGCTGAGCTGTCAGAGCAGGGATGCCCACACATGGAGCAGTTCAGAGATTAGAGCAGCACCCGAGACTGCATCTGGCCTTACTCCCCTGCAAAGTCTCATTTAGGCATCTGAGGCTGGCACAGTTCAGGCAGATACTGTGCCTCCTGCAAAGCTGCAAGGTGCTGGCTGGCTCTAGTTCCATTAGATGCTCTGACAGAAAGTGACCAGGACTGTTGGTCACTTCGTAAGGTTATTTTCTGAGGAATACCAATGTCCTCTTAATGTATGCAAGATTTCTTGGCTCTTGTTTCAAGGACAGGGATGTCAACCATCAGTGTGCTGCCAGGATTAAGCATTGGCCCATGAACAAATCATATCTTGTACCTCTTGAGTGAAAGCTTCTCTCCGAGGAGTTCCATTATATTAGTTAATTAGGGGAGGGGGGACGCATTTACTTGTGCCATCAAAGTAATAGCGGCTGCTGTAGCTCTCCCAAGAGGAATTTCAAGAGACAGTTCTCAGCATAAAAAAAATAGGAATTCTTAGGAGTTACTTGTGGTATTTCTCAGAAGAGTCAAAGGATTGTGTGTTCAGCGCACCAAGAGCCCAGACCAATATTCTTAGAAATTAAACATATTCGTTTCTCCTACAAAAGTCATAGGAATTACAGGAGTTTGGAGAGCACGCAGATGGTTGTTATTCCTGCCCATTCCTTCCACCTGTACGTATGCATTGGACCCATCGATTCTGCCTACAGATTTTTTTCCTTCGGAGATTAAGATAATTCTAGACTTTAGAGAATCTCTAAAAGTGAATGAGTTAATTCTCTGATAATAACTTTCTGGACCCCAGTCTTCAGAGTGGGAGAATGCCCAGGTGTGGGCTTGTAGGGAAGTACAATCATGGTGCATCCCTTTGGAGCATGTGCGGAGCGTCGATGGTTTAGGGTTGCTTCTTCCTCTAAAGGAAAGTTCTTGTTTTTTTCCTTAGGGGGAAAAAAAACGTGTTGTTTAAAATTATTGTTCATGAGTATAACTGTCACATGACTCATGTCTCTATGGACTTGGGAAAGTTAAATTTTTGGGATGCTGTGGTCATCCACTAAATTGGGAAACTGGGACAACATCCGATTTGTAAAGCATGGTTATGGCGCTCTGCAGTGTTATCTCTGTCCTGACCAGTCTAGCAGGCCTCCTGTGTTCCAATACTCCTGAGGCACAAGTTTGCACAAGAACCTTGTTTAGGGCAAGAGAAGAGTTAGTGCTCCAAAAATGCTGAGAAAAATCAGGTGTGTTGGGGAGGGGCAGGGTGGAAGGGCAAACGGTAGCTGGTCTGATGGGCCCGCATTCTTGCCATTATAAGAACAGTGACCCTAAGGGGAGAGGACTGATGGACGTACCCAGCCTCCTAGCATGCTGTTTCCAAGTCCTGCTTTTCTTTCTGACTTAATCCTAACTTGGTTTCTCCCTAGAACCGTATGGAAGAGAGCAAAGCCTTGTTTAAAACCATCATCACCTACCCCTGGTTTCTGAACTCATCTGTAATTTTGTTCTTAAACAAGAAGGATCTTCTGGAAGAGAAAATCATGTACTCCCATCTAATTAGTTATTTCCCAGAATACACAGGTAAGTATTTGGGGGATGCGGCTCTCACACGAGCCATATTGACTCCCCAGCTTTCTGGGGGCCTCTCTGATGGCTCTCATGTTCCTCCTTCAAATTATGCTTCTCATAGTGTTTTCACCTCAACACCTGCCACTGGGGCCTGAATACATTTGCCAGCTCATTTGGCTTACTCCACTTGACTGGTCAGGCCCCAGCTTGGGAGCCTCACCTAGGAAACCCTTCTGCATCTATCTACAGCTTGCACTAGGGTGCCACCCCTTTCTGTTGCCCTGGCAGCCTGGTCATTCTGCTGCGTACGCACTCACTCAGCTTTCTCTGGCAGAGCTGGCTCCTGCAGCTTCAGTCAGAGTACACGCTGCTTTGTGGGGTGCTGGAATCTTCATGGATGTAACCTGCTCAAGACAGGACAGTGCTCATGCTCACTAATCACTCCTGGCACAAGACGTCTCAAATAGCACACTCTTGAAACTGGCATTCCATGTGAAGTGTTTCAGCATACTCCTCCTTTGATTAAACACTCTGGCAGTATAGTTTCAAACTGTCTGGCTTTAAAACCAAACTAATGACATTAGTTTCTGCGCCACACCCCCCTCCCCCAGCCCCCAGCTGCCTGTCTGTACAAGTTAGTGGTTAGAAAACAAAACTAGGCCACTATTTTTAGACAAATCACTTTACAGTACAATTTTTAGATACCAGTAGACACTTTAAAAAAGACCAAACACTGGGCAAGGGAATGGCTGGTTCAGTTGGTAAAAACATTTGCTTTGGAAGCAAGTATATGACCACGTTCAATCCTTAGAACTCACCTAAAAAAGCAGGCATGATAATGAGAATTTATAATCACAGAGACAGGCAGACCACTGGGATTTGCTGGCCAGTCAGTCTAGCCTAGTTGGTGAGCTGTAGGCCAGAGAAAGATCTTTGTCAATGGAGATGCATAGTATTCCCGACGATAACATGGAATTGTTCTCTGGGCACATGTATGTATACATGCATATATACTCCGTAAAACCTAAAATATTTTTAAAACATTTTATAGATTCATATGAAATATAATAACTATTCCAGGTAACCTTTCCTTAGGTATGAAATAAAAAGGATCTGAAATAAGAAAATACAATAAAAATGGATTATGGGAGGGCATGATGGTGAGTCTGTATCTTTATTCCTCTCATGACCAGGACCAAAGCAAGATGTCAAAGCCGCCAGGGACTTTATCCTGAAGCTGTATCAAGACCAGAACCCTGACAAAGAGAAGGTCATCTATTCTCACTTCACATGTGCTACAGACACTGAGAATATCCGCTTTGTGTTTGCTGCTGTCAAAGACACAATCCTCCAACTAAACCTCCGGGAATTCAACTTGGTGTAAATGCTGTGACCCACTCCTCCCAGACAGAGGGTGATCTCCGGGCCAGGCTCCAAGGACATTACGTAGCCCACAGGGACAGAGATGGATAGTGTAACCTCAAGGACACTTGCTCTACCAACTCTTTTAACTGTCATCAACTCTTGTCTTTACTTACCTTTTGGCTGTGAGGTCAGGCATAATTTCTGAGTTTGGTATTTTATAGAATTTCAAAGGCTACTGTGACGCCCCTCCCCCCTCTTAAACTAAAATGTTCAATCACTAACAGAGAGGACTTGTTAATTTACAGATCATGCCTTCAGACCTCTAGGATTAATTCAGGTGACTAAGAAATCTTAATAGATTTAATGCTTTTTAAATAAACCTTGAAAGATATTTCTTACATTTCTTCCCCTCATCTAACATTTGTACCAAACAACCAAAGACTTTCTATGCATCCCCCCCCACCGACCCTTATTATTTTAATTTTTTACTTTTAAAGGCAAGGCCTTAAGTGACCCAGGCAGGCTTCCAATCCGCATCTGCTGTGTCATTGAGGATGGCCTTGATCCTCCTGCCTGGACTCCCCAAGTGTTTGTTGGAATTGTTGGTGTTCAGCTAAGATTATTTTCTTTTCTGAGACAAGGTCTCATGTATTCCATGTTGGTCTCAAACATAGTACAGTCGAGGATGACCTTAAACTTCTGATTCTCTTGTCTTCATATATATAGCCTAATTAGAGCAGGAGAGTTTTCACCGTTGCTAATTATTCCTGACATCAAGAGGTCTCAAACTGTATGATTTGACATTGATATTTACAGGTTAGTAAGTGCTAGGATGTATGTCAGTACGATCAGCTTATGCGATGCTTGGGATGGAACCCAGGGTGCTGTGCAAGCCCCCAGCAAAGTTTTCTTAAAAGAAAAAAACAAAACAGTAGTTCTATTCTTGTCAACTTTCTAAGCCAAATTAATATTATCCCATCTTCTAATTTAATTTTGCCACAATTTGGTGGTGAAGACTACGCCAAGAGGAGAAACGGACTTTAGATAGTGCATGTGTGTATTTTAATGCGTATGGTCAGGTCTTTATAAACTTACGGAATGGCTAAAGCATAACTTGTTTAACAAATGTCATGTAAGCCTTGCCAAAACTGGTGGTAATCACAAATCTGCTATGTCTGAACTGTGTACACTGTGCCTTTCTGGATACTGAGAATATACTGTTCTACCAAGAGCACTGATGATGATGTGTTTCTTGGAGCTCGTGGATGGTTCTATTCAAATGAAAAATGCCACAGTCTTATCAACAACTCAGCAGTTTTCCTGTTTCCCCCCTTTTGAAGTAAGTCTTCATTCATCTCTGCATGCTGGAGATCCTTCATAGCTGGCTCAGTAAACAGAGCAGATCCCGATCCCCAGGAAGTAGAGTGGTTCAGACTGAAGGCCTAGGATGGCTTTGTTTCCACTGCTCATTGGGAGGTATGTGTGTACTTAGGGTGTATCTACCTCCCAGAAATTTTCAAAGGGTCTCTAATTTATAAGGCTTTAGCCTTTATAACAGTGAGAAAGTGATATATATCCAAGAGGAACTGTACTTTGAATTTTGATCCTTTCTCAGGCTAATAATTTTTGGCCTGGTACTCTCTTGAGATGATGGGCAGTTGTAAGCTGCAGTTCCCAGTGAGCCAGTAACCTCTCGGTGGTGCACTGCTGGATTGGATGTTCCAGAGGGTCAGTATACTATTATGCATTTTCAGTCTCAATGCCTCCAGTCACTGTAGGTTTACTTAGTTGAGTCTGTATAAACATTCTCAGATTGGCTATATCTGTTGCAGAACCCCATGGTTAAATTCCTAGAGCTGAACTAAGCCTTTCTTATACCCAGTTACTGGACCTTCAGATTGTCAACTTGTTGGAACATTCCAAGGGTAAACACATTCTACCAAAGTAGCATTAGGTTTTGAAAGCCAATCTTAACACATGAACTGGACAGACGGATGCTAAATTTTATTTTAAACATGTAATCATCAAGAGAAAGACAAAGGGATAGCTCTTCAAGATATTTAAAATCAAAGAAAACATTTACCAATGGTTAAAGGTGATTAACTAGTCTCATTATCCAATTAATCTAAAAAGAAGCATATCAACAGACTCAGAATCAAGGATGTTAAGCAATGTGGGATTCTCTTTTCAAGTCGTAGCATGCATTCTAATTGGTCTGAATAAAGGAAATCTGGAGTCAGATAGGGGGTGAAAGCTGAAGGAGCAGAGCAGTAGTGCAGCCAGGCACTAGAGACCTTTTACCTCTACAATGCTCAGACCAAAGGGGCAATCCTGTCCTCAGATTGTATCCTCAGACTGTAAACTGTCTCCACCAAACCTTAGATTCCTCTCTCTACTCAGCCAAATCACTCCTGTCTCTACCTCCCTAGTGCTGGGATTAAAGGTCACCTTTGTGTGAGCTGTTTCTCTTTTAGACAGATTCAATCTTATGTAGCTCAGGGTGGCCTTAAACTAACAGAGATCCCTCTGTCTCTGTATCCCAAGTCCTGGGATTAAAGGTGTGTGCCACCACTCCCTGACCTCTAGTGGCTTAGCTCTGCACTCTAATCTTCAGGTAAGCTTTACTTGTTAAAACATAAACGAAATATCATTACATTGAGTACCTTCCAGCATTGAGCTATTAACAAATTTGATTGATACAAATTGATGACTTTAAGGCAAGAAAAGTGTGGAATAAATAAAATAAAATAATAATAATAAATAAAATCAAAGGGTGGTAATAAATACCTTTTTCAGTTACAGCAAAGTTAACTCTCCATATCAGGAGTGAGTCAGTGATTTCTGTCAATATTAATTAGTTGTGCAGAAATTATCCCTTAGTCTATCTTTTTAAAATATACTCACCACAACTGCCAGAAAAAATTAGCCATCTGAAGTTGGTGGCTAACCATTCACCAGGTATTTCCTCAAACTTTTAGTCAATGGTGAGCATGCTTGGCTAGAAGGCTATCTATCCACTTCAACTAAAAAGTAAGGACACTGATCTCTTCAAGGGACTTGGGCCACAGAGAGGTAGATTTTAGACAGGAAAAAGAAGGTGAATGTTCGTGGTTCTATTTAATAATCAAAACAGACCGAAGACCAGAAAGCTTTATTGGACTCACATATGGTTACACTGGGTAGTCATTTTAGCATGCAATCACCACCTCCAAGAAATAAGTAGTATTTCAAGTGTTAGTATTTCCAGCCAATTTTTAGAAAGAAAAAGACTAAGATTAGTTTTAAAAATAAGAACCTCATTTGAAATGCCTGTGTTAAGACTATATCAAAATACACAAAACTTCGGCAACCACAGTGTAATAGATAATTAGGTCATGTTTACATACAAGAGATATTAGGAATAGAAAAGGAAATACTGATGCAATGAGGAATACTTTAAAACCTATAATAACCAATGGTCATGTTTTGAACAAATAATAATAAACATTTCAAAGAAGCACAGGCTATTAAGTCAATATAAAAATAGTTAGACACTAGTCCGGACATTGCATAGAAATGGAACTGTACAATTAAAAAACTAGCAAGAAGGTATTTTTAAAGCACACCTTCCCCCCCAAATTTCATTAACTGTAATATACTTGTATACAGAGATGAGCATTTAAAAAAATGGTCCTAAATATAATTTAGTCCTAGATATAATTTATAATTATTGGTGGGCTTGTGTGTATTGATACGGAGAATATTCTTTCTAAGCTATAGTATGTTGCTTTTTGAAATGTTTTTCTGCAAAAAAACACTGGCAACTTGAATACAGACAATTAAACAGTGGTGGCAGGAGGACATCATGAACAGAGGGTTTCATCCCGCTCCGCTGTAGCTGACACTTCTAGTCATTAGACATTTTTACTTTCACAGCCTCGAGGGTCCTTGCTACAGTTTACTAGAAGGAAGCACTGCCGTCACAGAAACGTATTTAGTGACAGGTTTTAAATCGAGGCAATTTGATAGAGATCACGCAGGTGTTAAACTACACCTCAAATTTATATTTGTATTAAAAAAAAACCTCAATTTTAAAAAAATACTCATATCGACCTGTAAATCTGAAGTTACATTTCTTATGTGTCAAGCTTTGGGTAAATCAAATTTTCCTCTTTTAAAGAATGATATAATGCTTAAGAAAAATTAAGAACCTTTAATGCTAAAGTAAAAATACTTTTAAATGACATGAGATTATTTTACAAAAAAGGCAATATATAGAAAAGGTTTTAATTGAAGAAACATTAGCAGGGCTTCTGATAGGACACAGACCCCTCTTATTTAACAAGGCACCACCTTCTAGGTCAGTGGGGGAAGTCATGCTGTTGGGTATAGTGCTTACTCTCTACACTACATACAACAGATCATAAAAAAAAAACATAATCTAGCCAACTAGTGTACACTCAGATGCTTTAGCATTAACAATGAAGTATAAACTCAAAAATACATCCAGAAGATCAGGCAGATCTAGTTCTTTTATAGAGTGAGGAAGGATATGTGATTCTATGCAGCACCAATGGAAAACAGCCTGATGAATTTGGATTAATCTGATATAAGAAACGCAAGTCTTCCTTTTCTACTTAGGTCTTATGGAAACGAATGAATGCAGTATTTTAGTTAAAATGTACTGGTATTTGTATCACACCTCAGCAGGTGAGTTCCAGTTCTACAATAATGGTTGGCTACCGGTTTGTTAGGATCTCTGCCACCTGCATGAGGAGCCAGACAGAAGGCGGATGGGAGTTAGAGGTCCTGTGTGAAGGACCTCTACCACAGTCTGTGGTCTTTTCGGGTGTCATCTGTCGAGTTAATTGTCTATGCCGTTTCTGGTTCCATAGATTTTTCTACGAGGAAAGGGAAGAAAAAATTTCATACAGTAGAACAAGAGCTCTCCTGACTTCTTGTCCTAAAGGTGACCACTGTGCTCTGAGCCTGCTCTTTACTACCTAAGAACAAACAACTCAAACCACCCTGTTTCCAGGGAGGGGAGCCGTGGGCATGGCCACAGTTCCAGCAGTTCCAGACAGACCTAGTCTTTCAGGCTTTTTATTCACTTTTAAAAAATCTAACACTAAAATATGATTTTAAATTATAAACAGAAAGAGTATTTGTTCTTATGTGTTCTCTTGTTCCTATGATTGTCTTTAGTTATTAGAGTGACTTCATGACCCACTGGTTAAGACCTATAATTTGACAAACACTGCTGCGGAGGATTTCAGAGGTAAACAAAAGAAAAAGCCTGGAGCACAGACAGACCTGATAGTTTTAGACACCTATAAGTACATATGGCACATGCGTTTTGTCTTCATCTTTCTAATGCAGAGGCCTATACAAGGGAGCAATTAGCAGAGCTAAAGAATGAACCAACACAGTGATCCAAAGTACAGGAAATTCAGGGTTGAGCATTTTTTTTTTTTTGCTTTTTTAAAAAACCTGGTAGGAATGGGGCACCAACCTGTGGATGCTTTTAACTGATTAGATACTGGCAGAGTGATATTCACTGAAAGGAGATGATTATGATAGAAATCATGGAAAACCCCAGGACTCCAGATGCCAGGGAAGACCCCCCCGCCACACACAAACACTATTGGAGAAATCTGAATACTATGATTCCTGGTTGATTTTCTCAAAAGATTCTGAAAAAGACTACTGACTCAAACACATAACTGTAAATTATAAAATGTCATGTGAATGTCTTGTCTATGTCAATGGTGGTTAGTGTTCCTAGTTTTCATAGTTGTTTAGACACAGACTATCCTAGAACAACCTGTGTCTTTCTAGTGCACAGTCAGAGTGATGGGAGGAGGTGATAGGCACATGATTTATAAGGAACAAGAGCTATTTCTCGGTTTTTATTGATACAGGAACAAGGAGAACAGGCACATTAGCTATGTATGTGCACCAGTTATAAAACCCATCCTGCCGGCTGCCAGAAGATACAGAATCGCTATGCTATTACTTTTGCACTTTGCCATGGCATACCTGAAGAGTTATGAATCTAATTTTTCTGAAATCATGAAAGAAGTAACTAATGAGGTATTTAACTATTGGCAGTGACTGCAGTGCCAGAAAAGCGACATTCCAGATACAGAGATGACACCTAACTACCTCTCCTTGCAGGTTTAATCTGCAAACCTGGAGGGGCTCAGCAACAGAGAAAACTTGCGCCTTACCTTGAAGAAAGGTCA